GTATCCTTAAAAAATGTTGATGGAATCTAGATTGGGATTGCATTGAATGTATAGATTGCTTTGGGTGGAATTGACAGTTTCACATGTTCAATCTTCCTATCCACGAGCATGGGATGTTCTTCCATTTATATAGATCTCTTCTGGTTTCTTGAAGTAGTTTTTTGTAGTTTTCTTTGTACAGGTCTTTTGTGTCCCTGGCAAGATTTATGCCCATGTATTTTATTTTTTTGGTAGCTATTGTAAAGGGTATTGATTTCCTTATTTCTTTTCCAGCAATCTCTTTGCTGGTGTAGAGGAATCCAACTGATTTTTGGATGTTAATCTTGTATCCTGCCACAACGCTAAATCTCTCAATTAGTTCCAGTAGATTTTTGACTGAGTCTCTTGAGTTTTCTCAGTATAGGATCATATCATCAGCAAATAGGGATAGTTTGATTTCTTCCTTACCAATTTGGATGCCCTTGATTTCTCTTTCTTGCCTTACTGCCCTGGCTAGGATTTCCAATACAATGTTGAATAGAAGTGGTGATAGCAGGCACCCTTGTCTGGTTCCTGTTCACAAGAGGAATGGTTTCAGTCTCTCTCCATGGAGAATAATGTTGGCTGTTAGTTTTGCATAGATGCCCTTCATTATGTCGAGGAATGTCCCTTCTATTTCTATTTTGCTGAGAGTTCTGATCAGGAATGGGTGTTGGATTTTATCAAATGCCTTTTCTGCATCAATTGATATGATCACGTGGTTCTTCTCCTTTGTTTTATTTTTGTGGTGGAGGATGTTGATTGTTTTTCTAATGTTGAACCATCCTTGCATACCTGATATGAACCCCACCTGGTTATAATGAATGATTTTCTTGGTATGTTGTTGGAGTCTATTGGCTAGGATTTTGTTGAAGATTTTTGCATCTGTATTCATGAGAGATATTGGTCTGTAGTTTTCCTTATGAGTGATGTCTTTGCCTGGTTTTGGTATCAAGGATATGCTTGCTTCATAAAGTGAGTTAGGGAGGATTCCATCCTTTTCTGTGTTTTGGAATAGTTTGAGTAGGAATGGTGTCAGTTCTTCTCTGAATGTTTGGTAGAATTCTCCAGTGCAACCATCTGGGCCAGGAGTTTTTCTTGTTTGTCATTTTTTGATGACATGTTCAATTTCTTCTTTGTTTATGGATCTGTTCAACTTTTCCACATCAGTCTGTTTTAGTTTAGGTAAGTGGTGTGTTTAGGTAAGTGATGTGTTTCTAGAAATCTGTCTATTTCTTTCAGATTTTCAAATTTGTTGGGGTACAGTTCTTCATAGTATCCTAATATTATCCTTTTTATCTCAGTTGGTTCTGTTGTGATTGTGGAGTCATCTATTTGGCTTTTCAACTCTTTTAAAGTCTGATTTATGTATTTTGGGGCTCTTTCATTGGGTCCATAGATATCTATTATGCTTATATCTTCATGTTCAATTGATTCTTTAAACATTATATAATGTCCTTCCTTGTCTCATATGGTGGTTTTTGTCTTAAAGTCAATTTGATCAGAAATTAATATTGCCACTCCTGCTCTCTTAT